TGATAAAAATATGGGGTAAAGAAATGAAGACAGGTTTGGAGAGATGGGATCCTAGAAATAGGATCACACCCCAACCCGCGATGGAATGAAGACGAATTTGGAGAGATGGGATCCTGGGAAAAAGGATCATGCCCCAATCCGCGATAAAATGAAGACGGGTTTGGCGAGATGTGATCCTAGAAAAAGGATCATACCCCAATCTGAAATGGCTCACAAGTCAAATCGACGAAACAAGACGAAGTCAAAAAATGACACATACATCAAATATTATAAAGCCAAGGTATTGGAAACCTACGTCTAGCAACGTGCAAGAACCTGGATAGAAAACGGGTTAAAAATAAAAAGCACACTGTAGGACTGTGGCTTCTAGCCGAGGCATAGGAAAACGGAAGGACGCTTTCGAATCCTAAATGTTGTCAAAATAAACAACATGTGTACAAGCTGTGATAAATCAAATCAGGCTTGAAAAATAAGGGGCAGATTGGTACGACCTTGATCAAGACGCCTCAAATTTGAAAACCTAATTAAGGAAATTAGGCTAAAAGCAAAAAGCGAAATCTGCATGAAAGACCTTGGCTAGGTCATTTTGTTCAGTTAATGCTGAAAAGCTAAATCTGAATCAATAAAGCCAGTGCAAGAAGTTGGGCTCAAAGCGAAAGCCTCGGAAGGAACAGCTACGAGCTCGATGTTAAAAGGAGGCAAACACTGCCTCACCAAAGCACCACCTCAGCCAAAACAGGTTGAGGGAGAAATATGGAAACAACTTATTCAATACTCGAGCTGAACGAATGACAGAGATAATATCTGCAATCGCTGACCAAATTAAGTCAGCCAAGAAAAGTTCCAACCCAAAGAAAATTGCTTCAATAAAGATGCCAAGTCAAAGCAAGAATTCAACTGCTAACTTGAATAAAATTTGCAAAGGAAATTCAAATGTAGAGATTACTGCTATTTCATCCCGGCAGCCTGGACAACCAAACTACCAGGCTGGGGGGCAACTTTTATCCGGGTCACATGGATGATGCTTGGGGGCAACTTGCCAGTTGGATCCCAACTACTCAAGCATATTCGCAGAATATCTTGTCGGGTTCATGCATAACCCGTCCACATAGTTGACAAGGGAAAATCATTCCCGGTTCCAGAAGAAAGCTACAAGCTCAGGACGTGTGCGTATGGAATGATACTTGGGGGCAACTCGCCTGTTGGATACCAACCACTCAAGCTCATCCCAAACTCAATATACAAATACGTGAAATGTTTTCCATGGTTTATGATCAACCCGTCGAGATAAGGGGCAATGACGACCCCGGTTTAAAAAGCCTGAGATGTAAGGAACATATATGCAAAAAGTTTACAAAAACTCAAACGCTCTTAGCTCAGCAGAAAACCTGAAGCAAAAGGAAAGACAATTCACCCCGGCAGCTTGGACAACCAAACTACCGGGCTGGGGGGCAACTGTTATGGACCTGACAAAGGCCTACATTCTAGAAGGCCCAAATAGGGCTAACAGCTAAGAGGGAATTAAGGAAACATTCCTTAATTATGTTAATCCTACTACGGCACAATGGATCAACAATTGGACCCCCAATGCTCCTGAGAGGCCCAAAAGTCCACTCCTGCCAGGTAACCCATCTATAAATAAGGGGTTTAACCAATAAGGTACACAAACTCTAAACCCTCTCTCTTAGCTTGTCACTGTGCACACACCCCACGTCTTGACTATGTCGTATATATTATTGTGCACAGTGATCCGCTGATCTCTAGGGTTCCTTCCCCATAGGTACCTAAGGGAGGGCAAACAGATCCTATATTAACATACCAATCTCTGATTGGACATGTCGATCTATCAGATCGTAACAGTATTAAAAAAAAATTCATCTAAACTTAAAAACTAATATATGAGCAACACCAAGTTACCGATAAGTGAAATTTCAATTAACAACATTTATTATATGATGAATGAGTTAATCATACTATAAACATATTTGATTCATTAGTATCTAGGGACAATTCGAGTAGTTATTTGTGCATGAAAAACATAGTTTCCATCTAATATTAATTGTCCCACCGTATAAGTTGGGACAAAAGAAGGTTACCATGCGTACCATCTATGACTTGGAGTTATTAAGTGCATGAAAAACATAGTTTCCATCCAATATTAATTGTCCCACCGTATAAGTTGGGAAAATGAAGTTATAATTTCTCACAGATATTTTCAAAGAACAAAAGAAGGTTACCATGCGTACCATCTATGACTTGGAGTTATTAAGTGCATGAAAAACATAGTTTCCATCCAATATTAATTGTCCCACCGTGTAAGTTGGGAAAATGAAGTTATAATTTCTCACAGATATTTTCAAAGAACAAAAGAAGGTTACCATGCGTACCATCTATGACTTGGAGTTTCTTCTTCTTAATACCAACCATAAGGCGAGTAGGTTTCTACAAATAGCCCCACAAAGGCAGATTAAGAGTTAAGGTTTTATATCTCTCCTCAAACTGACATTGATGGAGATCGAACTTAGATCATTTCCTACCTACTTATCTCTGAACTACTATCATTACGTGACTTGCAGTCTTTTTATCAAGCCCTCAATATTATCCACAATTTTATTTGATATCTTCAATTATAAATTGGAATCAACATGATTTCCAAGAATGTATATGGGTTTAATATTTTTTATGTTGTCAAAGATAAATTAATTCTTATGCACACACAAAAGTAATACGGGGATCATAATTTTTTTTTCTCGTTTTTTTTCTTCACTTGGATTCACATGAATCCCACACACTTTTATTTGTTTATAGAAAATAAATTTATTTACCACAACATTAGAAACATTAATCCTAATATATATATATATATATAGAAAATATTATACTTACTACTTTTGTTTCTTACTATATTTTATTACCAAATCTTAACCGTTGATTCCCGTTAATCTAACGGTTATAATTTATTGAAAATTAATAATTAATTAATAAGTGTAACCCAATATATTGTAACCGTTAGATTGACATAAATCAACGGTTAAGATTTGGTAGTAAGAGATAGTAAAAATAATAATAATAAGTATAATCTTCCTATATATATGTGTGTGTGTGTGTGTGTTATATTGTAACCGTTAGATTGACATAAATCAACGATTAAAATTTGGTAGTAAGAGATAGTAAAAAAAAGGTAATAAGTATAATCTTCCTATATATATATATATATATATATATATATATATATATATATATATCTTGTCTGTGTGTGTGGGGATAAAATTCTTCACACCAAAATTTAGCCGTTAATTTCTGTCAGTCGACAATTATAATTTATTTGGAATTATTAATTAATTAATAAGTATGACCCAATAAATTATAATCATCAAATAGTAGAAGTCAAAGGTTAAGATTTGGTATCAAACTTTTTTTGTTTGACACCAGTGTCAAAGCATCTTGCCCTATATATATATATATATATATATATATATATATATATAAAGCTCGTCCAATCTTATCATAAAAAAAATTAAAAATACATAACTACATACGTACTCAACTAACATGACTATGAGGTTGGATATTCATACTACCATCTTTTCTACTACCAATCTACTATTACTCTTATATGTTTATGTATTTCGAGAAATATATTAAAAGTTGATTTTCTTTTCTCTATATTCAAAAACTTTTCATAGATTGTTGGCTGAAAAGTGAGATCCAACAATGATTAAAGTAGTAATAAAGGGTCACTTTTTCTGTAGTTATTGAAGATAAGTTATCTGTAGTAAGCCCAATACGCTGTCATTTTAGGGCGGAAGTCATGGTATTTTTGTAATTTTAATTTATTCCAAGGTTATTATAGTCTTTATAATTATAATTTTTTAATATTTTAATACAAAAAATATCATTTTGAAAGTAAATGCAGATAACTTATCTGCAAAAATATTTTTCTGAGTAATAAATTGATAATAAAAATAATTATAATATGAATAACCTACCCTATTTATTTATCAGAAAAATATTTCTACAGTTACTGTCTATGTTGCATCTACATCGACACGGGACACATGATACAATACGACACGACACTCCGACACGTTAATTCTAAAAAATATTAAATTCTGACACGTTAGGACACGTTTTGATATTATATAATATCTTTAATTTATGTAGTGTATATTATATTAAGTATTCAATAATTAAAAAAATAAATCTAAACTTATAATACTCATCAGTTTTGCAAAGAAAGAGAAAATATCTCAAATGTTTATATTAAAATCAATAAAATCGTACTCGTAATCTAACGAATATAATAGTTGGAACTCAAAATGCAATGCAACGTAATTTTTGAACCTTTTTTGAGTCTTTGCAACGAGTATTGGAGTGTCGGAAGTGTCGGAGTGTCGGTGAGGAAGTATCAGACACAACACGTCAGGATTTTTGAAGTGTTGGTGCTTCATAGGTTATTGCATATAAGTTATCTGCATTTACTTCCAAAACGACATCGTTTTAGTGTGAAAATATTAAAAAATTATAATTATAAAGATTATTATAATCCTGAAATAAATTAAAATTACAAAAATACCTTGATTTTTCTCTCAAAACGATGTCGTTTTAGCCTCAATATAAGTAACTGCAGCAAAAATAAACCATTTATTTATAGTATTTTTTTATTTAACGGAGAGAATTATTTATCTTGTTGAAATATCTGTAGCACCTGAAAGTGACTGTTAACAAAGATTAAAACGAAAAATCCCAAAACATTGGAGAAACACAAAGTCCTGTCATTCATACCATACCATGTATGACTATTTGACTATCCGACCAAAATCAAAACACAGAATTGAAAACTCACGTCAAGCTTGAAAAAATTTTCATACCCTTCCCCCAAACCACGCTTTCTTCCAAGTTAAATTCTTTTCTTTTCTTCCCCTATCTACCCTCGTCTGTTTCAATTCAATTCTTTTTAGTTTTTACTTCGTTCTAAAAAAAAATAAAAATAAAAAATGATGCTCCAAACACAAGAACACCCTCTGCTACTGTTCTTTATCTTCTTCTCCATTTTCATCTCCACCATTGCAGGAACCACCACCATCTTACCAGGCACAACCCTCTATGCTTCCAACACAACCCAATCTTGGTCCTCTCCCAACAACACGTTCTCACTCCACTTCCTTCCTCTCCAACCCTCAACTTCCCCTCCGTCCTTCATCGCCGCCGTTGTCTACTCCGGTGGCGTACCAGCCGTATGGTCCGCCGGAAAGGGCGCCGCCGTGGACTCCGGCGGATCCCTCCGGTTCCTCTCCGCCGGAAACCTCCGCCTTGTTAACGGGTCGGGCTCCACCGTGTGGGAGTCTGGAACTTCCAACATGGGTGTCTCCTCTGCAATGCTTCATGACAATGGAAACTTGGTTCTATCCAATGGCACCGGCACTGTGTGGTCAAGCTTTGACAACCCCACTGATACCATTGTGCCGTCCCAAAACTTCACAGTTGGTATGGTTTTGAGTTATGGGTTGTACTCCTTTTCTGTTCTTAGGTCCGGGAATCTCACCCTCAAATGGAATGATAGCGTGCCTTATTGGGATCAAGGCTTGAACTCTTCCATGAGCGTGGTGAATTTGAGTTCACCTGTTTTGGGGTTGCAATCAGTGGGAATTTTGCAGCTTTTTGATCCGAATTTGACTGCTCCTGTGGTGGTTGCTTACAGCAGTGACTATGCCGAAGGGAGTGATGTGTTGAGGATTTTGAAGCTGGATGGTGATGGGAATTTGAGGATTTATAGCTCAAAGAGAGGTAGTGGGATTGTGACTGTGAGATGGGTTGCTGTTGAGGATCAATGTGATGTTTTTGGTTACTGTGGAAATAATGGTATTTGTAGTTATAGTGATTCCAACCCTATTTGTGGATGTCCATCTCAGAATTTTGAGATGGTTGATCCAAATGATAGTAGGAAAGGGTGTGAGAGGAAGGTGAGGCTTGCTGATTGTGTAGGGAAGGAGGCTATGTTGCAAGTGGACCATACTCGATTCTTGACATATCCTCCTGTGTTTTTGATTAATCCTGAGATATTTTTCATTGGGATATCACCTTGCAGTGGAAATTGTCTTGCATCCAGTTCTTGCTCGGCTTCTACTTCCTTGTCAGATGGAACTGGACTCTGTTACATAAAGACAACAAATTTTATTAGTGGCTATCATAATCCTGCTCTACCTAGCACTTCCTATATCAAGGTTTGTGGACCATCGGCTCCAAACTCACCACCTTTGTCAGATAATGCTGGCCAGGGGAAGGATTGGAGTGTACATGCTTGGATAGTTGCTGTAGTTGTTTTTGGTACCCTTTTAGGTTTCCTTGCCTTTGAGGGTGGTTTATGGTTGTGGTGCTGTAGAAACAGCCCGGGATTTGGAGGGTTTGCTGCTCAATATGCTCTTCTTGAGTATGCTTCTGGTGCACCGGTCCATTTCTCTTATAAGGAGCTCCAAAGGTCAACAAAGGGGTTCAAGGAGAAACTTGGTGATGGGGGGTTTGGTGCTGTTTATAGAGGAATTCTTGCTAATAAAACTGTTGTTGCAGTTAAGCAACTTGAGGGCATTGAGCAAGGTGAGAAACAGTTTAGGATGGAAGTTTCTACCATAAGTAGTACACATCATCTGAATTTAGTGAGGCTGATTGGTTTTTGCTCTGAAGGGCGTCATAGGCTCTTGGTATATGAGTTTATGAAGAATGGATCTCTTGATAATTTTCTTTTTGTCAATGAAGAACAGTCAGGAAAATTGTTGAATTGGGGGTATCGTTTCAACATAGCCCTGGATGCTGCTAGGGGCTTGACATACCTTCATGAGGAGTGTAGAAACTGCATTGTCCATTGTGATGTAAAACCTGAAAACATTCTTTTAGATGAGAATTACAATGCAAAAGTATCAGATTTTGGCCTTGCAAAGCTCTTAAATCCCACGGATAGGCGCCGAACCTTGACAAGTGTGAGAGGAACCAGAGGGTATTTAGCTCCAGAATGGATTGCAAATCTTCCCATAACTTCCAAATCTGATGTTTACAGTTATGGTATGGTTTTGTTGGAGATAGTGAGTGGTAGAAGGAACTTTGAAATCTCAGAAGAAACAAGTAGAAAAAAGTTTTCCATTTGGGCATATGAAGAGTTTGAGAAAGGTAACATCATGGGAGTTATCGACAGCAGACTGGTTAGCCAAGAAGTAAACTTGGAGCAAGCAAAAAGAGTGCTTCTGGCATGTTTTTGGTGCATACAGGAGCATCCTTCTCAGAGGCCAACAATGGGCAAAGTTTTGCAAATGCTAGAAGGTGTGACAGATATTGAGATGCCACCATCCCCAAAATCCATTACAGTTGGATCTTCTAGTGGAATCAATAGCAATGCCACTTCTATATCCACTATTGCAACCTCATCAGTTCCAACTTGCTCCCCATCTTCATCTTTGCTGACTTGAGGCTTCTTCATTGGCTTTAGAAGAAACACAGAGAACACGACTTCATCATTTTTAATATCAGACCTATACAATTACTCCTTCCTATTTTATTGTGACATTAAGGATTGTTTCTTGATTATTGTTACATGTGGTTTATCTGTATACTTGATTCTGCTCCATGCTTATAAAAACATGTATAACCGTCTGCTGTTGGAAAAGTAGTATACTAGTATCTTTTTCCTGGACTCTTGCTACTCCATTTCCCATTGGTGCCGTTTCAAGTAACAGTTCATTTTAGGGGGAAAAAAAATTATTTTTTTAAAGCTCTCTTTGAAAATTGTTAATTCTTTTTTACTCCAAAATAAGTTAATTCAAATACACATTGTACAAGTGATAAGGAGCTTTTTTTTAATAATTTGGAATGCAGAATTGGAATACATTTATTATGGTTTCACGATTAATGATACCTGTAGTTTCCAAGAGTTTCAATATTTTTCATATTATACGAGATAATTTTATTTTTTAGGCATGTATAAAAATATGTGGAACTCATGTTGGTCCATGTCAAGAGAACAGTGAAAAAAATGAGCCTCATACAATTTTATGTATATGTCAAAGATAAATTATCTTCAATAATATAAGAAATATAATCCTATATTAACAATAATAATACTAATAAGCATTTAATGTTTCTCATGTTATAGGAGATAACACACAAATAAAAGTGTGTGAGACTCATTCTTTTTCTTTTTCTTCTCTTCACATGACTCCATACGAGCCTCACATTTTTATATATGTAGGAGATAATTTTATATTCTACAATAAGGAAAATATCAAACTCATATATATATATATATGGGTAATAATATAAGTGTCAAGTCACTCGATATAAGCTTTTGTTCGGTCATTAAATTATAACTGTACAAAGGTGGATCAATGGTAATAAAAGAAGAGAAAAAAAGGAATCATAATCATACAAAGATGAATCAATTAATATAAGGAAATAAATAAACAAAACGACGTAGTTTAATCATGACTTAACCATCGAGTGACATATATATATATATATATATATATATATATGAGATATGTTATTCTACCTACTCTCATTTTGCCTACCTTTGCCCCTACTCCTTTCATCACCGTTCGATTACAATCTAATCCAACGGTCCATAATTACGAAATAAAATAAACTCTTTTTTTCCTTTCTCTCTCCTCACTCCCTCCCACACCTTTTCTCTTTCCTCCCGTTTCTCTCTTCCTCTGCGATCCGGCCACATCCTTCTGATCTCTCTATATCTATTTTAATTTATTTATTTTTGAACTACAATCGAACACGATTAATATATAAGTTTCAGATTGTACCCTTGATAACCAAACAGATCTAAACTTGAAAATTTCAGTCACTGCTTACGCTTAACCTTAATTGTACCCTTCCCTATTAATATATAATTCAATAATACTATAAAAACTTGCGTTTTGATATTGTCAAAGCTTTCAATTCAGACTCTACCATTGATGTCTTACTACTAGGGGTGGCAAAAACGAGCCAACCTAACCCGTCAAAAACGAGTTGGGTTGGATTGGCAAAAATAAGCTGCCAACCCGAGTCAACCTAACCCGAGCCCAGCTCGAAAAAATGAGCCAACTCACGGGTCAAACGAGCCAGCTCGCGGGTTGAGGTTTTTTTTTTAAAAAAAATACAAAATATAATATAAAAAATCCACACATGCTGTCATCGTCTTTCTTCCTTCTTTAAACCTAAATCTCTAATCTTCTCACATCCCTAACATTTTTATATTATTAGGCTGTTTTGGCTTTGTTTGGTTCAAATATCTTACTCACTTGGTAGTAAGTGGTTCTGATTGTTTTTTGGTGTTGTGTAAATTTGTTGTGAAAAAAATTAAAAACTAAAATATTTTGCTTTTATTTCTCATTTTGTAACCCTTTGTTTAAGCTTATGGAAGCCACATGGTTGGTGCATTAATACTACAGGTTCATTTAAATGAGCTGAAAACGAGCCAACACGCGAGCCAATTTTCGAGCCAATTCGCGAGCTATTTTTTCAAGCCAACCCACGAGCCATTTTTTGAGCCAACCCTAACCCGACTCGGGTCGGGTTGGGTTGAGTTTTCTGTCTCGTTTTTTTTTTCGAGCCAACCCTAACCCGACTCGTTTTTTGGGTTGAATGCGGGTTGGGCTGGGTCGAGCCGGGTTGGCCCGTTTTGCCAACCCTACTTACTGCTTACAACGCATGGTAAAAAGTTTTCACCTTGTTTTTATGGATCTACCTATTTACATCTGCAAATAATAATAAGAGATGGGTTGCTTTATTTGTAATGAAACAATTCTATGAATCAATTGCAACAAATCTAACAAAAAAAATGCAGTACTTTTTCCTCATAAAATCGCTTAATAACCCTTTTCCATGCTTCTTCTAATCGGAAAGAACTGTCACTACCTCCATTCCAACAAGGACAACAACAAAGAGTTCGATAATAGGTATAGATATTCACTGTGAATCGTGTTTGCTTGTAGTTCAAAAAAAAATATAGGTATAGAGAGATCAGAAGGATGTGGCCGGATCGCAGAGGAAGAAAGAAAAGGGAGGAAAGAGAAAAGGTGTGGGAGGAAGTGGGGAGAGAGAAAGGGAAAAAAGAGTTTATTTTATTTCGCAATTATGGACCGTTGGATTATATTGTAATCAAACGGTGATGAAAGGGGGTCGACAAAGCTAGGCAAAATGAGAGTAGGTAGAATAACTTCAAGAATATATAGGTTCATTTTTTACCGTCAATGTAGATAACTTATCTATATTGAGCCCAAAACAACGTCATAACGACATCATTTTGAGGCAGAAATCAAGGTATTTTTGTAATTACAAATTAGTTTATGGTTATAATAATCTTTTTCATTATAGTTTTTTAATTTTTCAGCCCAAAACGACGTCATTTTTGGAGCGAATGCAAATAACTTATCTACATTTCGTGTAGAAAGATTAAAGCATATAATATATATATATATATATATATATATATATATATATATGGTTTGCTTTTTCTACAGTTAATATAGGTAACTTATGTACATTGAGCCTAAAACGACGTCGTTTTGAGGCTGAAATTAATATATTTTTATAATTATAATTTATTTCAGGTTTATAATATTTTTTAATTATAATATTTTAATTTATCAACCCAAAACGACGTCGTTTTGGGAGCGAATGTAGATAACTTATTTACATTTACTGTAGAAACATTAAAGTCATATATATATATAGGGAGGTTATAGTTATTATCTCTTTTTCTTACTACTAAATTTTATCCGTAGATTTTCGTCAATCAAATAGTTGTAATTTATTGAGTCATACTTATTAATTAATTATTAATTTTTAATAAATTATAACCGTTAGATTGTGAGAAATCAACGATTAAGATTTGATAGCAAGAGATAATAAGAAAAAAAGATAATAAATATAACCCCTCACATATATATAAAAGAAAATGATCTTATTTTATTTTTAGTTTAACAAGTAAATTTGATTTCCTTATAAAAAAAAATAGTTTGACTAGTGTTATTTTTAAAACAGTTTTTTTTTTTTTTTTTGGACACGAAATGAAAAGAAAAACAAAGACAAAAAGAAAATAAAACTAAGCACAAAGACTAGGCTAGTGATAAAATAGTTTTATTGTAATTACAAAATGATGAAGGTTATACTTAGAGCTGGCAAAATGGGCGGGCCGGCCTGCCAAACGGGGCGGGGCGGGCTGAGTTTTCTAAACCCGCTGCCCGCCAAGCCCGCCCCGCCAAGCTCGCCAGCCCGCCCGGGTTGATTTTTTTTATTTTTTTTATTTTTAGTGTAAAATGTGACGGGCTTGGCGGGCAGCCCGCCCCGCCCAAACGGGGCGGGGCGCGCAGAGATATCTAGCCCACCTTCAATGGCGGGGCGGGGCGGGCCAGCCCGCTTTTTGGCGGGCAGGGGCGGGGCGAGGCGGGCAGCCCGCTTTGCCACCTCTAGTTATACTTACGGCTTCTTTTTGTTATTACTAAATCGTAATCATTGATTTATGTCAATTTAATTATTATAATTTATTGGGTCATACTTATTAATTAATTACTAATTTTCAAATTTATCAATTTTTTTTTTTATTAATTTTCAATAAATTATAACTATTAGATTGAAAAAAATTAACAATTATGATTTAATAATAACAAAAAGAGATAATAACTATAATCGGAAAAGTGACCATTTTGTCATGCCTGGTCAAATTATTTACCAGACTGCCACGTCAACAGTAAAAATTCTCAGAATGCTACGCGACATAATTTGCTACACTGTGCAACGAATTATATTTGAAAATAATTCGCTACACAGTGTAGTGAAATATGCCATGTCAGGCTGCACAGTCAGTAAAAATGACACGTGTCAAGCAGGCAGTAATCCGAGCATAATTCGCTACACAGTGTAGCAAATTACTGCCTGCTTGACACGTGTCATTTTTGCTGACTGTGCAGCCTGACATGACATATTTCGGTATACTGTGTAGCGAATTATTTTCAAGTATAATTCGTAGGATAGTGTAGTAAATTATGCCGCGTGACATTCCAAGATTTTTTACTGTTAACGTGATAGTCTGATAAATAATTTGATTAGGCTTGTCCCTACAAAATTGCTATAGTTTTATTTAAGGGGAATGTTTTTCATCATTTGCAGGGGAGAAACTATGCTTTCCTAATGAGACATTAATAAGTGGGGGCATCATTTAAAATAAAAAAAATTAAAAAAAAAGCTGGTGCAAAATCTAGGAAGGAGGAATAGTGTTGGTGTGACGTAAGAAAACAAAACCCCTTTATTTAAATTTATTTAAAGCTGAAGACCAAAAGACTTGAAAAGGGCTCTCCCTTACGAAATTGCTATAGTTTTATTTAAAGCTGAAGACCAGAAGACTTGAAAAGGCACTCGTAACTCGTGAGTCCATCACCACAGTGATTCGGTGAAGTGAGAATACTAAAATTACAAATCCACGCAACGCAACCTGTGGAACTGGGGAACCTCCTCTCTACCCGCTCTCGTCCTCGTCGGAGATCCGCCATGGCCGGCAATCCCGCAACTACCTCCTCCTTAGATTCTCGCGAGAAATTGAATTTCTCCTCCGATTACCCGACTCGAATCCCCCTCACTTCGGATCAGGTCAAGTACTGCACCGAAGCGCTCTCCTTGTTGAAGGAGAAGCTCCACACTCCTCGCAGGATCGCCCAAGAGTTTGCGCACTTGCAGGTTCAGTAATCGTTTCCCCCTAATTTACGATTATCGCATCATATCAAAAGATTAAAAGTTGTGATTTCAGGCGAATAGGATAACACCAAGCGAGATGAGGAGAAGATGCACCGTAGCTCTTGATGCTGTTAATTTGAGCAAAAACAGATACACTGACGTTTTACCATGTAAATTTACCACTAACCATGCTTAAGGGTTAAGTTAATTGCATGTATTTGAGGAAAATGAAATTTACCATTTCTTGTTTCAGTTGATACGAACAGGGTTGTTCTTAAATCAAGTACAGATTATAGACCTGCAGCACTGGGGTATATCAATGCAAGCTTTGTCTCGGTAGAAATTTATTAATTTTATGTTTATTTGATGATTTGGTCCCAAAAAGCTATTGGAAGATTATATTCTTAGTTTGACTGAACATTGCAAGTGCCTCTCTTCTTCAATGTGTGTTTGTAGACCTCATCCCCTGGAATTGTATCCCAGTTTATAGCCACACAAGGCCCGCTGCCACACACTTATGAGGATTTCTGGGAAATGATTATGCAGTATCACTGCCCTGCAATTGTGATGCTTACTCGATTGGTCGACAATGAGAAGGTGCTTGCTTACTTAGCCTTTACAATCAATGTATATATATACATTTTAATATACTTTCTGTTCTTTCTTTTTCTTTTTTTTTCAAAACTCTTTTTTATAGATGGTTAAGTGTGGAGATTATTTTCAATCTGAGGATGGACCTAGAGAATTTGGTAATATCTCTATTATCAGTAAATGGATGAAAACTACTGAAAATTCACTGGTGCTGCGCCATTTAGAGGTGAACCAGAGAGAGGTGAGATGATTTTTCCACTTATAATGATTGTTCAGGCTATATATCTTTCTTTACAGACTGACATGGCTGATAATTATTTTAAGGGGCAGGGGAGATTTGAGTAGAAGCCCCTCTTTCTTGAAAACTTTATAATTCCATCTAATTCTTGGCCTTTGTTCATAATTGTTTTGCTGTAATACTTCTGAGTCCACTCTAAGGCCTTGAATATCAGAACTTTTCTTAGTATTAGATACCTTGAGCTTTTATAGTAATAGTAAACCTGAATGCTTTTCTTGATAATATCTCTCTGAACAGTAGTGCTGTAACACCAGAAGCTGAGAGGCCTTTCCAAATTTAAGGGTGCAAGTTTAATAGAATGATAGGTTGTGCTCATGTTATTCCGGGGAGGGGTGGTTTTAGAGCTAGATTATATTAAAAGTTTAGTGGTTGGATGTTACTCTTGTATTTGGAGGTTAATAATATTTTCAGATAAAGAAATATCGGTTCTATCAATATACAAGAAGTGACACTCTTCAAAGTAATTATTTCTAATTATAAAATAACAACATATAGCTTTGCAAAGTTTGCTGGTTGTGTACATAGTTTTTGCGCTTATATAAGTCTTCCATAGGTAAATGACCTTTGAATCACATAACCTTGTTTCTTTCTAATTTTTAGTTTCTTCTGATTTGGAGGATTTTTTCCCCTCCCCTTAGCTGTATATTCCCCCATTTCTTTCAAATAAAAATTCTTTTTCTAGAGAAAAAACAATACAACCTTTCCACTTTCTGTTTTCTAAATGTGCTGCATACCAAGTCAAGTTGGAAGAGCAGTGTCTGCTCTTTTATCATTATTTTTCTATCTTCTCTTTTATTGCTATAAGATAGTACTTTGGTGTTGAGCTAGCTAGACACAAAGACAACATAAATAGATTTAGTCTTCATTGAAAGCCTACTGGATATTAATCAATGAAAACTAATTTGCCAAATTCTAATTTGGTTTGTGCTGCCAAGGCCAATTGCATCAATACATATCAGCCTGAAATATTACTCATCTCAGGCTATATAGATGGGATTTTGCTTTTTGGAAGATATCCTGTTCTCTCCCTAATAATTTTTTTTCCATCAAAACAAAAAAATTGTCACAAGTTTTTGTTTTGATTTTGGAAGACACTCAGTTTCTCTCCACCTTCAAGATGCCTAGCATTCTGGTTCATATAAATATTTGGTTGATATTATTGCAGGTAGAAGATACACCACTGTCTGTTTTGCATATTCAATATCCTGAATGGCCTGACCATGGAGTTCCCAAAGATACATTTGCTGTGCGTGAAATTTTGAAAAGATTATACCAATTACCACCAAACCTTGGCCCTATAGTGGTGCACTGCAGGTTCATCTCATTCCTTCTTTATTCATTTTATGGCTATGATGACTATAAATCACATGCATATTTGTCTGAGACAAACTCTCTCACTCAGTGCAGGTATTGGTAGAACTGGAACATACTGCGCAATTCACAACACAATTCAGAGAATACTTGCTGGTGATATGTCTGCTGTAGATATTGCTGATACAATAGCTGTGTTTAGGTCCCAGCGTATTGGAATGGTTCAGACCCAGGTAGATGGCTGATGGAACCCAAAAAATTATAACAATGTATTTACTAAATCCAGAGATTACAAACACTAATTCAAGATAAAATGCAGAAATTACACACTAAAAGACCTCACTTACTCTCAAGACAAAATACCTAGGCCAAAGAGATCCCAAGAGATCCTTTTCCAAAACTCCACTCTAAATATTCTGAATACATGCTTACCCACAATACCATATTACCTACCTTTTATCCTATACTTTAGGAATATTCTAGAATAATTTCCATAACAAACTAACTAATTCCCTACTTTTAGGCCCATGGCCCATCAATACTCCCCCTTTAAAATTCACCTTGTCCTCAAGGTGAAGAGAGGAAATAGGTGATGTGAACAAACTTCCACCCGGATCCCATTGTTTGAAGTTTTTTGACCCCATGGTCAATTTCAGCACTTTTGCAACATATACTGCCAATAAATGATGCCAAATTTCTAATTTCAGGATTCCCAAATTGGACCTGCCAATGAAATTCCATTTCTGCCCTCCTATCACATTAATACTTCTTGGACCATTTTTGTTAACTCCATATTGCCCAGCACTTCCTAACCAGCCCAGCCCAATTATTCCCCATCTATTGGCTTGCATTTTAAAACTATTTGGGGCCTTGCTGTAAAAATTGGTCACACGTGCGTGATGACTCTCCTCCACCAACAATCTACCAAAACACTCGTTTTGCTTTGCTGCCTTCTCCTCCAACGCAAGTCACCGGAACCCTGGTCCCTGCCGTTTGTCGCCGTCTATCGCTTTTACAGCACCACCGCGTGAAGACTGGGTTGCAGCCCCACGATCTATGGTTTTTTGTACGTTGTTTTCCTTCATTTTGGCAAATGGGTTACACCACCGTCGATCCGCCATTTCTGCCTCTGTTCACCGTCTGAACCTCGCATGCCTGTCAATGCTTTTGTCGTTCTCCACTAACCCTCTTTGCATAGCTCCTCCCTCTTCGTTTCTTTCTTCCTCTTCAGCCTCTTTTCTGTTTTTTTCTTCCTCATCTTCTCTTTCTTCCTTTTCTGCAACTGCTTCTTCTTTTGCTTCTTTCTGTGATCCTTCTTTTTTTTTGTTCTCTACTTCTTCACCATTGTTTCTTTTGCCTGCTCCTTCTTGGTTTCCTTTTTCTTCTTCATTTTCGTTTTCTTTCACTTCTTCGATTTCTACGATTTGGTTTTCAACCTCTGTTCTTCCTTTTTCACCTCCGTCTATTTCTTCTTCTGTAACTGCTGCATTTTTTTTTTTCATTTTCTTCTTTGTTACTTAGCAGGGTCTGCAGCAGGCGGCAAAAGTTCATTGAAATCATGAAGGATACCCTGAACTTTTCCCAAATAAGCAGACATAGAGACATCAAGGTGTTGAGCAGCAATAGTAGTGATCAAATTTTGACAAACACCATAGAGTTGCTGAGTGTCATTGGTATAAAGTGACTTGGCCTGACGCCAAACAGACTCACAAGTGACGTGAGCACGGAAAATTTGCTTCAACGACGAGTGGATGGTAGACTTGATGATGCTACATAACTGAACATCAACCTTTTTCCAATGAGGGCGTACATGTACCGAGATGGACTCAGCCTTAGTAATGAGATGGTCAGTATAATCCTGTCCATTAAGCCAAAGTCGGAGATCAGAAGCCCAAGAATCATAATTGGTGCCATCCAACTTGTCGACGTGCAACGGAACATTAACATAATTGGAAAAAACAGGCGTGTCATTCTTTTGAGAACCCTTGGATGCATCGTGGGGTGACGAATCAACCATAGTTCACCTGAAACAAAAATGAACAGCAACGAGAAGCAAAGAAACACGCGTGAACAGTAACCAACAAGGGAAAAGACACTGTAGGAAGCCGAAACGAAGTCGTAACAACAAAGCGAGGGCAGATCCAGGGGCGCAAGAAGGAGACGAGGTGAACCGTGGTGGTTGGAAGTCCAGTTGGAGCTGCACGCGCCGCTGGCACGGAGCGGACTGCAGCGGCTTTCTCACGCGCGTGAGAGCGCGTGGCTGAGTTGCCAGCGGTGGGTCCTGGACAGAAAGGACCGCCTGGTTAAGACGATTCGAACGGTGGGGGTTTCGTCGGAAAAGTCGTCGGAGACGGCGGTCAACGATGGTTTCTGACAGCGAGAGAGTTCCGATAGGTTCTTAGATGAGAGAAGGAAGCCAGAAACGGATAGATATGACGGTTTCCTGAAAAAAAAAAATTTACTCGGCAGACAGTGGTCCACCGGAAAGATACGGATTAGGATTCCTCTTGTTAGGCTCTAGATACCATGTTAACTATCAGAAATACAAGAGGCATTTGACTGTAATCCTTGTGTCAACTACACGAAGGAGATTTCATTTATATATTAAACCAAATAAGACATATACACAATGTGGGACTTCTATACTATTTACAACAATCTACTACTAACACGGAATTACTAGACTCTTACGGATCCACACAGACTCCATGACTACTACTCAACTGACGGATGATCCCCTTTCTCCCGAGAATTACCTGCTTCCTCTTGAGACTACCTCAGGAACTCAGCAACTAAGCACCACGCTCAGCAGCTCCACTCCCTTCACTCAATATTTTTGCGCATCTCCTTCTCCGTGTATAACTGCCTTATAACATCTCCTCTTTCAAGGAATCCCCTCCCCACATTTTCTCCCACTTCCTCTTCTCCATTCATAGCACTCCACGTGGCTTCTCCCATAACAAACTTTCCTTCCCCATTGCCCTTTACTATTATATTACCATTTTCCCCAATCAATCGGGCTTTCCTCTTCTTGTGATATACCTTGTCAAATGGACTTAAGGGCCCAACAGAGAAGCAGCAAATTTCAGCATAAGGTTGGTTAAGCTTGAAACCACTGGAGATTGGCCAATTTAGATGTGAAAAGGCCAATGGTGGTGTTTCCGGTCAGAATGATTGCCAAAATGTCATCAGAGGGTGGCAGGCAATAGGGACAGTGGAGAGGATGTTGCCCAAAAGATGATACTGACTTAAAGATGGCTAATTGGAAGGAAGAAATTTGTCATGAAGATAAAATGAAACTCTGGATTTTAGGAAACTTGGCAGGGAATAGTGACGAGACAGGTCATGGAAGATGGTCCTACTCTGATACTATGTTGAAATATTTTTCACATTATTAAATATTTTTTATATCCTAACATTACCATTGTGATCATGCCTTTTCCTTGTATATCCATTCTCTTTGAATTTTTTGGTGACTCTTTCTGCAACCTATCAGGATCAGTATATTTTCTGCTATGAAGCTATCATAGATGAACTGGAAGACCTTGTATCTCAACATTAACGAGGAGGGTACGTCCTTTACTTCTGTTCTCTTTGTAGTCTTGCAAATATTATAAACTGCTCAGCTCATGAAATTCTTTTATAAAGGATAGGATTTATACGTCAGTTCTCTTACCCTATAAATTCTATTATATCCTTGTTAAAATTATTCTTTTGCTAGTGTGATTAATTGGTATTTTGTCTGATGTAAATCCAGTGCTGGACCAAAGGATGTTAAGCTGCTGCAACTTTCAATTCCTTCATTTTCCATTTGGGTCCTGCAATGCTTATGTCTCCTGGAAGCTGATTTTGTAGCGTTAGCATTCTGGGGATTTTATGAATTTCACTGAACTCATGTTTATCTCAAACTTTCATGTGTAATTGCAGGCAGGGGATAGGTAACAAATATCAGCGTCGTTTTCATTATAGGGGAAAAGAATTATCATGTTATAGGAGATTTATTTCTCCTACTAGTGATACATCGAAATGTGTGCAACAATTTTTTTTATTTTTGTTTTTTAATGCGAGGTGGGACCCATCATATCTTGTATTCATAGTAAGAGAAAAAATTCTCATACAACATGAGAAAAAAAAGAGGGACCCTTCATTATATTACTATAATTATGTTGGGGAACAGAAGGGCATAATTACTACAACAATCTAATTTCCATTGTTCTCTTCCTTTCTATTTTTCCTGCTTCTTACCATCCCCCGTTTTTTGCCGGGAGAATACCATTGGCTTTAGTGCATAAAGCTAATAACGACATCCTACTGAAGTTGTGTATATCCCCCCAGTTATTGATGCTGAAGATGTGATGTGATGTGATGTTGGCCTTGAGATGGTCATTTACAGTCATCTCACTTCCTACGTTCAAATTTTATTTTTTTTAGACTCTCTTCTAGTGCCTAAGTGACATGTGTAGTTTGCCAGCGCATGAGGATGAGGGCTATCTGATCCTCGCTTTGTCTGGTTTATATATGAGAGCTGGCTAGATTTCCACGGGCGATGATTACGTGGGCACAATTGAAGGTAGTCAGTCCTGTTTGCATTTGCTACAAGCTGACAAACTGCAATTTTATAGCCTGACATTCTGGTCCTAGACTCCTATGTGATGACTTATATGGGGTTTCCCAGCAAGGTTCCCGTAGTTTTGTAACAGCTTAAATAACCCACCAAACCATTCTTTGACATGCAGACTATGTGCCAACTTCAGAAATTTCCATAAGAGTGTTGATTATTGCTTGTACATTGCTAGATATGGACAAAAGTTGGATAAAGAAATATTAACGTTCATCTGTCTAAACTAAAGATGCCAGATGCAAGCTCAGCGTAGAAATAAAAATATGAAGCCTTTTGGGACTAACAACCTGACGAGGGAGATACCACTCCATGTTCAAGGCAAATAACTGAGAAATAGTTTTCTCCGTCTTTTCTTCTTTTTGTTTTGTCATTAATCCATAAGAAATTTCCTTGAAGTTTCATCAAATTTTCTGTGACTACGTATCTGATCAAGTTTTTCAGTTCGTTGGAATACTTGTTAAAGTGCTCTGTCTAAGAGGAAACGTAATCTGCTTTAGACAATTGAAAGCTTAATTCAAGATTGTGCGGAATCGGAGTTGCATTGTGCCTCGTCCTGTCGTCGATATATTCAAGTTTGCGAGTTATGGAGTGGAGAAAATCTTGTTTTCGCCTCCCAAAATCACTTCCGCCGAGAAGTGCGACCTGATTCAATTTGAATTTGCATTGTTGGAGAAAAAGAAAGAAAACAAAGAATTGTGTTGTTTTCTACTAACTGTAAATTCCGTTCTGACAAAAACAAAAATGGTGCTGCTGCTGTCATTGGACGTAGTTTTAAAAAGGGTAAATGTTGGGTTATTATGACATAGATGACCTTACAGAAAAATACCAAAAACGTAAAATTCACTTATAATCAATTTTTAAAAAAGTGTACCATAAAAGCTTAGCTTTTTTTTCTAGCATTTAAAATGACAAATATTTTGTCCTTAAAATAATTGTCAAACAGAAATGCTGAACACTATTTGAACAAAATGCCGAAATAAAATAAATTATGTTTCTTTCACATTGATTTTTATATTTTGATGTGTGATTTATATGTGTTTAAGAGAGATGGATTAATGCAGATATGGTGACGATGGACAAAAAAATAACTTTTGAAGAATGATGCTGCATTAAAAGCAAAATAAACTATTTCAAAAAAACACTTTAACAAGAGGGGGAAAAAATGAAAAAAAAAAAAAACCAAACGGTGGTAGTTCATTTGGCACACGGGAGCTAAACAGGTAGGGGTGAGAGCATGTGTTTGAATCTTCCCAGTACCATCTTTGGGAAGGGTTTAAAGGTTTAATTCTGGACCCGTCCCGAATCGGATTAGTTACGAAGCAATGAACTGATTGGAATATTTTCAAAAAAAAAAAAAAAGGAAAAAAAATAATGAAAAAAATCGAGTACATGATAAATTGCAGGAAAGAAAATGAAATCAAAATATAAGTAAAGCTTGAGATAAAGTAATCTCTTAAAACATTTTGTACTATTTAAAGGAAACAAATGCTTCAAAAAGTAACTGTTAACAATGAATTAAAGGGAAATAATACTCTCATGCCACATGAGATACTCCCATTTTCCTACACAAATTCGTTTTCCGTGCCAATTAATTTTTCTTTTCTTTTTTAATATAAAATATGAGACCCACATTTAACTTCTCCCTACTTTTTTTCTCTCCTACAATCCTACACCATAAGAAAAGTTAAACCCTGAATTAAACGACCAACTAATAAGATTAACACGTTACTGAAAAGTTTGACCTTCTAAGTTGAATTCCGAAAACAAGTAGCATAATTTAACTTTGTAATTGGACAATGTTTGTCTGTTAACAAACTTTTAAGTACAAAAAAACAAAACATGTATCTATCGTACTATAAATAATTTTCAATTTTCATAACAAAGGTGATACTTGTCATTTGGAGAGCAAGTGGTAAAAAAAAAAAAAAGACGAACCAGCGCCATCATATGATTAGTTTTTGGCCAAGTGGAAAAACATTTTCACTACGGTCAAAACAACGTTAATTGGAGTGGGAGTAGTGGGGTTGTGTGCTCTGTGTCTGTGTTTTGACCATCGCCGAAAATAGAGAGAGAAAAGAGAAGAAAAAGATTCTGCTTCTGAGCTTTTGTGTTGCGTGTGGCAGCATTTCCTGTTCCACCTCTGCGGTGTTAGAGAGAGAGAGAGAGAGAGCTATCCCTCTCCGATCCCTTTGACCCTCCATAGCCGTTAGTCTCTCTTGCACCTCATAATGGCGCACATGCAACTTCTCACAGATCTCTGTTGCTGGTACCTCTCTACCCCATCAACTATCTATGTTGGATCCATAACTCTATCGGTTGTGTAGACTAACTTTGGTTCATGGGGTTTTTCTTTTATAAAAAATAATTTAATCAAATTAGTTATTGGACATCTCTAATTTTCTACTGGATGTTGCTGTTGTTGTTTCTTCATTTTTCTCGTGTGTGGATTTTTTTTTTTTTTTTATCTAGAATTTGTGGATTTTTAATTCAGATTTCTTGACCTGAACAGAGTTGATGGACTGGAGCTGTAAAGGTGATCAGAATTGGTATAATCAAAATTTGTGCCTTGACTATAACATTCCTGTGAATTGAAGACCGTGTTGTGTTTTGAGATTGCTGCTTCTTAGTTCAGTTCAGTTCAGTTCAGTTTTGTCATTTGAACACCTTAGCAAAATGAAGCTATAGGGGGTTTTGTATGGACATTGTATACAGACAAAGAGAGAGAGTAAAACTATAGTCACAAGCAATTGAACATAGTATGGGTGGTATTTGCTCAAGGTCGTGGAAAGCCACCGTAGATGGTGTAGTTGCAGATAATGCTCTTAGTGAAAGCTCGAGACATGCAAATGGCCATGCTAATAATGAGCCTGAAATGACTTATCAGTCTTTTGGACATCCTGGAAATATAAATAGCAATTCAACTATGCATCCTCTTGATGATGAGTTGGATAAGCATAAACGAGAATCATTTTCGTTTACCGGATTGGAAAAAGTTTCATATGATCCTAGTGCTGATGATATCAATGATGGGATTCCTAGCCTGTCCAGGGCTTTGTCACATAAATCTAGATTAGCTAAATCCAAGCAAGCTGCTGTTAAGTTAAGTTGCCATTCTCTTGTTTGATCTTTCTATATCTTGCGTGTTTGGATTTACTTACTTGGCATCTGGAAAAGCTTGTAATCAAAATGCCGTGATGAGGCTTTTGGCTGAAAAGCTGTTTTTGTGTAAAACAAAGTTAGTTTTATTTGAGAGAAAATAGGGGGAGGATAAGATATCATTCAGAAAAGGAACATATAAAAGGATTAAATCTAGATTGCAACTAAACTTTCTGCATATCAGAAATGGAAACTCTCTTGAAAAAGGCATGAGCAGAGCATCTGAGTGAAGCCACGAAATAAATCTCAAAGCAAATTCAGTTGCAAAGAAACACCCGTAAAATGTATGCACTCCACTTTGTCAAAGATCAAGTCTCCCAAAAGCTTAAGCTATTAGATGGAAGCATATGAATTGTTTTTATATCTCTAACACCAACCAATTAAACTTTATTTAGAAGAATGGATACATCAAGAATCAAACTCCTGACCACTTGGGTTATAGAGACTCTCGTACCATGTCAAGGACTAACACTCCAACAAAATACACTAGAGAACTGCAGTCAATTAGAACCTGATTTTTAATAATTGTTTATGGAAGAGCTTCTAAGGTAGTGGTATCTGTTTGAACTATGATACTTGATGGAAATAACGTAAATGATTTGCTTCAGATGTGGAGGTTGCAGTCATCTGATTTTATACTCAGACATCCTTGGAGACTTTGCAATAGGTTGTTTTCCTTTCTTGGGAGCAATAAGTGCATTTTTTTGCTGGCAGTTGCTGTTTATGGTTAGACTATAGTGCTAGAGTTTCTAGACAGAAATCTCAACCATTGCAATTTGTTTGGTACAGATAATTTTCAGCCTTCTTCTGGATGAAATCTAATGGCTTATACTGGGAAGTGATACCTTATGCCCCACTTTGTACTATCTCTTCTAATAAAATCTTTTTTTGTTATCCGATTAGTTTCTTTCTTTCCCGTCTTATTTTTCCCCCGCAAATCTATATTTTGTGGCTAGTACTCTAGATATTTTGGTGGTCTCTATGCCTATGATATAGAAAGAACAGTTCATAAAAGAGGGTAGAGTTTAGCAAAAAATAATAATATGATCTTATAGAAAAGTGTTTACATGTGTTATGTTTTTAATTACATTAAATTCCCTTTTGATCATGAGCAAATAGCCTAATATCTCACATGGTACTGAACATTGGTCTTAGAGATCAAAACGTACTTGTTGTCATGGTTTAGATCTCTATACATCCCTTTACCTTCCCCCTTTCTGTTCTATAAGGCCTCCTATGTACCTCTTCCCCACCCACCCCAAAAAAAAGAGATTAGATTGCCTTTTTGTCTTATCTTTTGGTGTATTACAGGTTTCAGAAGTGAGTTCACTTTTGGGCAGAGCTGGTACGGCCGGGCTTGGCAAGGCAGTAGAAGTTTTGGACACACTAGGTAGTAGTATGACAAGTTTGAATCTTAGTAGTGGTTTTACATCGGGCATAACAACAAAAGGAAATAAAATTTCAATTTTAGCCTTCGAAGTTGCAAACACAATTGTTAAGGGTGCCAATTTGATGCAATCTCTTTCAAAAGAGAACATTAGACATTTAAAAGAGGTGGTTCTACCATCTGAAGGAGTGCAAAATTTGATATCGAGAGATATGGATGAACTCCTAAGAATTGCTGCAGCAGATAAGAGGTAGATTATTGTAAATATTTTCATGACCAACTTAGCACAGCATCTTTCTATCTTTGATTTGGAGCTTATTTTCTTCAGCTACTATCTGCACTTAAAGTTATCACTATATTATACTGTTTTGACAGAGAAGAGTTGAAAATATTTTCTGGTGAAGTTGTGCGTTTTGGAAATCGTTGTAAAGATCCTCAGTGGCACAACCTGGATCGTTATTTTGATAAGTAAGTGTAGTTGAATTGATTTAATCATAAACCTCGTATTTTTACTTGTAATTACATCTATCATTTTGTTAGTTATGATTTGCTTTGTCCTTGTTGATATTTAGGTTTGGTTCAGAGCTTACACCACAAAAGCAATTGAAAGAGGAGGCAGAGGTTGTGATGCAACAACTTATGTCCTTTGTTCAATATACAGCTGTGAGTACACCTGTTATAAGGAACAGTGCCTATACTTCTCTTCTTCCTTGGATTTGTGTGTAAACTCATAAGTCTATGTATCTTCATTGAAGTGTATATTTGAGTATCATATAATATTAAGGAATGTAGTTAACTTACAGTCTGCAAAAGGGAAAATTGTGTTCTATTTTTAATTTAAAATTCTTGGATCCCACTTATTCCCTTTGTTGGATGTCTAAGCTTATGGTGTATCATATATTATAAAAAGTAAATCATGAATCAGATATGGAAAATTGAGATATGTTGTGGTCAAGTAGTTTGAGGTAAAATAATATGTTTTGTATCAGTAAAATGTGTCTTTATTGTCTTATAGGTGCTTGGTTTTGGGATTTGGAATAAGCTTTTTTAATCACTCTTTTGTGGGACAAGAAATTATCCTTTAGAAATCTAAGCTTTTAGCAATTTTATCCAACCGTATAATCAAGCTACACAGATGTTGAACTTATCTGCTTTTTATTTTACTTTTCCACTTGGAACTCAACAAAAATGAGCATGTTGTGTGGGTGAAAACCGAAAACAACATCTGTGCTATTCATTGGATATCAGTTGCTCATTTGTTTGAGTTAATTACATGCTTTTTCAATTCTATTTTTGAGTAACAAAATGTAAAGCATTAGATGGTCTATAACAACAGCAAGCAAGCTTATGGAAGATGATTTTATTTTATTTTATACTTCTGATAAAAGAATAATTTCACAAGAGAAAAAAATTAGAATGACAAAGGATGATAAGGAATCTTCCTTAATAAAAGAACAAAGAAAACAAGAGAATGACTATAACTTGGAGTGCACAGATGTTGTCAAAGTTTGAATTCATATAAATTAAAAAATGAGGCATGATCTGATTTTAATCATATCCCTTCCCTTTTCTGCAAAATAAGAGCAAAAATAGACATCCTGATGGTAAGTGGGTTTTTATTTCTTTAAGCTGCACGACTGGTTTTTTTTTAGACTTAACCTAAGTTAGTTTCACATTTTCTTGGAGGGCAGGAATTATATCATGAATTGCATGCCCTAGACAGATTTGATCAAGATTATCGGCGCAAGCTTCAAGAAGAGGACAATACAATTGTCACACAAAGAGGTAAATGTTGGCCTGTGTTTACTTGTACAAATGTCTTTAAATCCTGTGTTCTTGTATTATGTATTTGAAAATAATTATTCTGTTTAGAATCGATATGTTATTTATGTAAGTGTGCGCCAAAAATATGAGTTGATCCATCGAGTTTGCAGTTGTTGTTAATTCTATATTAGAGAGGAAAGACCGGGTACAAGCAACAAGTTCCTCCTTTAAAGCGACAATAAAAAGAAAACAACAACAGCAGATAATCTCATTAGTGCAATAAACCTCTTGAAGCCCTCTTCCTATCTGAGAGTTAGATTCTCTTAAAGAAGTAATGGGCACATCACCAAAGAGAAATCACAAAAATCAGTTTTTCCATAATGGTAGTAACTGGTGATGGACAAAGAAATCTGGAAAACATGAGCATTCCCCTCCAACTAAATACACCAGAGAACTGTCAAAACTGCACACCACCTCTAAGTTTTGCATTCCTTTCTCCCTCCAAACCGTCTAAACACCAGAGTTCATCATTAAGAACTGGAACAGGCCCTTTCTTTGAAGCAGAGGGACAGAAGATGAAGCACTTGTTGAAGAATTAGCAGGAAGTTGTTTCCTCCTGTTTTGTGTAATATATTACTTTTCAAAGTGGACAACAATTTGGAATGCATGGCGGAATTGGACTTTTATAACATTGATCAGTTTGCTATTTATCTTTACAAGTTCAGTCAGTATGTTGTAAGCTATCTCTGAAACTTAAATCTTTGTCCGGATGTCCAAAAATTAGACCACATATTTACAATTTAGGAAAAGAATGTTAAATCTATGTTAGTCTTTGTTACCACTATTAGCATTCTTATTTTTAGGCGATCAATGTTTATATAATGTGTAGGAGACAGCCTTGCAATTCTAAGAGTGGAACTGAAGAGTCAAAAGAAGCATGTAAGAAATTTGAAGAAAAAATCGCTGTGGTCCAAGATTTTGGAAGAGGTAAGAAGACAGTATTATTTCTTATAGATTTTTATAGCGAGTGTTTATTATAATAGAAGTTCGAACTTTAATATAGGAATTTATGATTAGTTTTTGGTCTTGTACTGTTGGTGATTTGGCATGTGAAAAGTGTTTTTCCTGAATTCTTTTAATTATGTTTACTTTCTTTTTGTTGTTTCAGTTTACTTATATTCTTTTCCCCTAGTTATACTTTCCCTCTTCTTCCTCTTGTAAAATTTATTTTTCTATAAAGAAAACTCAATTATTTTTAGCCTTTTTCCTTAAGCAGTTTTCTTATCATACAAATATATAATTTGATTGTTGTATCTGCAGGTGATGGAAAAGCTTGTAGACATCGTCCATTTTCTACACATGGAGATACACGAAGCATTTGGTAGTGCTGGTAGGCTTTCAAGAATTGCAAAGATTACTGATTATGATTAGCTGTGTCTGTATATGCTTTATTTTTGTTCCCTGAACCTGAATATGGATAATGAGGTAGGGAGGAGGTATCAAGTTATCTCCCAGGCTTGTATATGTCAAACATGCTGGAGTCTGCTAATAGGAAAAGTATACTATTCGCTGTCATGACATAAAATTCAGCAAAGGACAACATGGCCCATTCATTGAAATAGTTATAAATGCAAAATTTCGTGTACTTTCAATTCTTTGATGTGAAGTTGTGGGCATAAATTTGTCTCAATTAGAATTGCATCTCATAAGTTTTTGAAATTATCCTCTGCTCGTTGTTTGCAAATGAATTTTCTGATCTGCTAACCCTGCCCTGACCTTTTTGGTACTTTAGTTTAGTCCAAATCAATTTAATAGTCGTTTGTTTCTTTTTCCTGACAAGATGTAGACCAGCCTTTGTTGTTGTCAAAATGCCAGATCAAATAGAACGTGTCTTTTATACTTGTTTTCCTTTTCAACCTTGCAGATACTGAAAAGCTAGTAGAAGATTCTCAAGGCAACCATAAGAAGTTGGGCTCTGCTGGTCTTGCTTTGCATTATGCAAACATTATCACTCAAATTGATACTCTTGTGAGTTAAAGATTTTCCTTAAATTACATAATCTATAATAATTATCGTTCAAATTATCTTTCATACTCCCCGTTAAAAAACATGGTCTTACAATATTGTTTCTTATTTCTTCTTTGTTCGACTTCTAACTATGTCTAGTTGTTAATAACAAAAATTTGAGAAGGGAAAAGAAAAGCAGGGAAGCAGAAGCATTTACAAAAACAAGCTTAATAGTGTGGTGTTATAAAACCTTTTTCACCTTAAACCCAGCTTTCCTAATTATGGCAATGTCAGGGGTATGGTGGTTTTGGTTCTACTTGTTTTTTGCGCAGTTAACAAGGTAAATGAGAATAAGATCACAAAAAACAGAGAATCAAGGTCTGAACAATATTTTCTTCATATATTCTTAATGAAACGATTACAGTCTAGAGACAATTTGCAACAAAGAAAACCCAGCTCACTGGATTACGAAACGAAAATGACCAAGCAGAAAATGTAAAGGATAGTTGTGAGGCAGTTGGAGAGGCCTCACTCTCTCCCAAGGTTCCTGTAAAGAACCTTGGAATACACCACCCTAAAAGCTAGCTCCAAGGGGTGGGGGTGCTCAAGGCCTTATAAAGGTCATATTAGTTGCCCATCGAATGAATGTGGGACTATATATCTCAACAGTTCCAAACCACAATATTCTCCAAATGTGCTTCCCTCAATTGCTCCCAGCTCCTCATAACCACTTCCGCATAACTAACTTGCCCCCTCACCTTGCTCTCCCCCACTAGCATTCTGTTGGAGGGCATGTTGGTCATCAAACCCACCTGGGCCAGCAACCACCCCACTTGGGCCTCCATATTCAATATCTTCACCCCTTATGTTTGAGTCCACATCAGTATTTTGAGCCCAAACCTTTCTGTGCTGATCCCTTCTATATACCTGTCTAGTTGGGTTCGTATCACAATGATATAGAAATGAAACGATTCACCAAAATATTGGATAGTTCCAATTCCACTTCTATCTAACCCTGCCTCTGTCTTCCCCAACACCCTTGCCTCTTTATGAAATTCTGTTCACAACTTTTTTGAGCAATATTAAGGTAAAATATTGAGAATTTTGTATTCTAGCTCTTTGGGTCACTATTTATTAGCTATTCTATTTTTCAGAGGTTGCTTAACCTAATATGTTGACAAATAGGATTGCTTATATAAACTGCATTAATTGTTATTTTAATAATTGAATCCAAAATTTCCACTGATGATTGAACATGCTGTATGTTTCTCTTCTCTCTCTTTCTTGCTTTTCTCTTCCTTTTCTACATTCCCTTGTCATGATCATCTAGTCCTAGATAAAAAGTTGTTACCAGAGGGAAGAACATTACCCCTCTAAATGCAAATGAAGCATCCTGCAAGATGAGCTGATCATTTGAGTACTTTGTCCACATCTTGCAGTTTCCTACCTCATTTTTAAAATCAATTTGATTCTATATCTATCCAGGTTCTGGTCATTTGTCTATCCAAGTGAAATTATTACTAAAACAGTTTATAGAATATGGTTTATCTTTATTTTATTCTTTTTGTTTTATTTATTTATTTATTTTGAATACTACAAAGGTAAGCTTGTCCATTAGGAGACGCAATTTTAAATATGTTAATGGAATATGATTGGTTAGTTGTTTCTTTTTCATGTTTGTTTGTTAGACACACTATAAACTATAAAGCAAGTCCTGTCCGTAAGGAGAGGCAATTTTTTTTTTTTTTTTTTTTTTTGTTTGGGGTCCTTCCTACTTTGTTTGGCTTCTTAATTACATTGCATGAATAAAGGGCCGACCCAGTTCAAATACCCACTTCGTGAGTGTCTGGGGAAGGGAATACTCTAGGCAGTCTTTCCCCTGCTTTTTGCAGAGAGGCTGATTCGAACCCGCGACCTGACACACCACGGCAAGCAAGCTTACCGCTGAGCCAAGCCGGCCCTTCTTAATTACATTGCATGAATAAGATCGTAATTTACGTATTGACCTCACATGAAAGGAAAAAATTAAAAAGAGAAAAATAGAATACTCTTGAAGTCTTATGGCGAAATCCTTGATGTCGTAGAATCCATTTAGTCGCTGTCTTCATTTTCACCTCTTCCTTCTTTCTGATGGAGTTTTGTACCTCTTGAAGTCTTATGGCGAAATCCTTGATGTCGTAGAATCCATTTAGTCGCTGTCTTCATTTTCACCTCTTCCTTCTTTCTGATGGAGTTTTGTACACTGTTATTAAAACCAGGCCAGATCGGCCGGTCAGACTAGTTCAACTGAGAACCGGACCACCAATCAGTCCGTCTTGTCAATTTACCCATTATGCAGCAAACCGGTCTGCAAACCGGTGAACCAACTCTAAACTGGGTTAAATCGGTACTAAACCAGCACTGGTTTTTTGGATTGAACCGGTTCTTGGAATATTGTGTGAAGAGAATTCCATACTTGATGTTTGAATCTGTGTCTTAATACATGCAACACTAACCACTATACAACAGCTATATGCTTATTATAATGCTTCTGTTATTATATTTATTACATGCTTCTATGTATATCTGGTTCAAATGAACCATTGACCTAGTGACCAGTGACCACTCCGAATTTAATTACACTGGTTTTGTATTTTTTAGGCCCGGGTCCTTTCTGAAAACATGTTACATGTTTTGCAGTTACCTTGTAATACTATTGTATCTTCATTTTTTGGTTGCCTTAATCTTGGGCAAACTATATGCTCTGATCAAGATGATAGAACGCACAATATGGAGCAATTATAGCTATAAGAATTTTATTGTCATTCTGACTCTTGATAAATTTTGCATCTATTTTATTGGATAGCTATATTATTTTTCACTTCAGAATAATGGTCACAGTTGTAAAAGAAGAAGAAAAATCCTTACATTAATTTAATTTATTTTTTCAAAGAATAATGCTACTCACAATTGTTAGAGCCACAACTGCAGTGTTACTGCATCTGAGAAAATGATAGCAAATCGTTTGTGAAGGTAACCCTGAGTTGTCATTTTAATTTAATCAGGTATCTCGCTCAAGTTCTGTGCCACCTAATACAAGGGATGCCTTATATCAAGGCTTGCCGCCTAATGTAAAATCAGCATTGCGCTTAAGGTTGCAGTCATTTCAGGTTAAAGAAGAGGTGCATATCCCATTTCCATCCTACATTTTATTAGCTCAGTATGCATGCTATAAATTCATGAGTTGTTATTAACTAACGAGTGTCCCTCGTATTTTTTATTTTGAAAGATTAAATCTAATTGGAACTTTTATCTTTTAAAGGTTGCACTTTCTTCCAAGTAAGATTATAAATAGTATTAGGATTATAAAATACACCATTTACTTATGTATGTATTTTTCGCTTATATGAAAGTCAGATGCTCAAAAGAATTTTAATTGATTTAAGCATGTGGAAAAACTAAACACAGATTGTTATTATATGTCACGTAATATTTTAGTGTTGTAAGTACTGCAAATTTACGTGCCCGTCTGTACATATTGTGGAGTCAAGCTTTGAAACTATAAGGAATTATTAGACAAATATATGGTTCTCTTTATGATATTCTCTTAATATCTTCCACATAATAATCTTCTTAGAAGAATTTTGATTATACACTTAGTTTTTCTTTTTTTAAATCTAATGTTTACCTCATAATTTTCATGTTATGAGTACTTCAAAAAAATGCTCTTTTTTGTACATATTGCTTAGAACCAATTTATAACAACAAAGTTTTTATTTTAATTTCATGAAATGCTTGTCAATGACTTGCCCAATTCCTTCATTTAATGATTTTATTGAACTTCCTTTCTTCCAAAGAAGTTATATTGAGCTTGTGCTACGTTGCCTATATTGATTGTGACCAACCAAATTTGTAAATCCAAATCTGAATTGAAGGAAACGTTCTTGCAGCTTACTGTCCCACAAATCAAAGCTGAAATGGAGAAAACTTTGCAGTGGCTTGTTCCTATTGCCACCAACACAACAAAGTATATTTGCTAGCCTTTACTCAGCAATTCCTAAAAATCCTAGTATTGCATTTGGTAAAATACATTTGTTTAAATTTGCTTTTCATTATGGCCATTAAACAGCAATGCGCATCATTCCATTCATAAAGAGCAATTCAGGTTGCATTCATTATTGACCATTTGACATGAAGAGTTGCTTTAGCCTTATTACTAATTACCATTACCTTTTATCTGTTCTCTTCTATTATTTAATTATCATTAGCCTCTATATTTTCTGTTCTTTTGTTTAATTATCTCTTTTTCAATTGGATTAATTCAGAGCTCATCATGGCTTTGGATGGGTTGGAGAATGGGCAAATACAGGGTGAGGACAGAATTTTAAGATTTATTCCCTCTATTATGTTAATGTTCTACTTAATTTTTCCTAATCAAGTTTGTACAGGTCTGACGTCAACCGTAAACCCGCGGGCCAGACTGATTTGCTGAGAATTGAAACACTACACCATGCTGATAAAGACAAAACAGAAGCTTATATACTTGAACTGGTTGTCTGGCTTCATCATCTGGTGAGCCAAGTAAGAGTTGGTAATGGAGGAATAAGGTCTCCAGTCAAATCCCCTATTCGTTCTCCTACCCAGAAGACAGGTCAGTCATTTACACAGAAAGCTTGCTCTACTTCTCCCATGTTAACAGTTGAAGATCAACAAATGCTTCGAGATGTTGGCAAGAGGAAACTAACACCAGGCATTAGTAAGAGCCAGGAATTTGACACTGCCAAGACTAGGTTGAGTAAACATCATAGGCTAAGCAAGAGTAGTAGTCATTCCCCAATCAATGAAAGTAAAAACGATATATTCTCTACAAGGAGGCTACCTACTATTCCTTTCATTGACTTTGATATTGACCGAATGAAGGCCTTGGATGTCATTGATAGGGTGGATACCATTGGAAGTTCATAGATGTGTGGTGGCATATCTACATATTGAAGTCAAGGGGATATGCTAGAATCAAATTAATCTACCGGCTTCTTCAAGTTGGGTGCTCCTCCTTTGTTTCTTGTGAGCTGTGAGAAATGTTTGTTTGTTTGTTTTTCCTAGGCAAGGGTGATGTCAAGCCATAGTCTTTTTGAGATTGTTGTAGATGAATATGGGATGGGGACAAAGGGGACCACTGTTTTCATTAGATGTATATGTACAGATTACAAGATCATATAATAATTGTTCATCCATATGTTTTCTATCCTCTTAATCTTGTTAAGAGTACAGAGGTTACATTGTGTAAAGCAGATGAAGAAAAGTGGACTTTATATGTGAATAATGTACTAAAAAAATTATTTATATGTTGCGTGATAGATTTTTCTGACACCAACCCAACATTAATGAGTATTGAGATACATTTTACGAAAGACATTACCTGTTTCTTATTTGTTGAACCTTTTTATAAAGTTTTTTTTTTTAATTACTTTTGTAACAGGAGCTTACAAAGTTTACATAAGAATTTTTTTTCTTTTTGTGTGTGAAAGATGAAAATTATGTTTCTAAAAATAAATGGGAAAATTATTACCTGATGCATAAAGTCGTAAATTTTATGCTATTGCAATTTACAAGTGCGTAATGGGGAACACTAATCCTTGTTTCATAATTTGAAAGAATGCATGGGCATAACAAGCATTGTTCCTACTTAAAGAATTTTAGCATAAATGAGGATTTTATGGGCCAGATTTACATTCACAAAATAATGAACTTGCCTTCTTAAAATGGAGTAAATTTTTAATAATTTTTTAATAAATCCTTTCTTACCAAAATTAACAAATGAACGTGAATATTTTAATAATAAAGAAATGGGTGGAATAAATACAAATAAATTTGAGTCATGTTCATGTTGATGTACTGCAGATACTACGTAAGATGTAAATGAGATATGAGATAACTTAATTCAATTTGAATTCTCTCTAAAACTAATAGAATGAAAGAATGGAGAACAAAACCGGGATATGTGGCTCAATGATAAACTGATCTCTATAGTACATGTAAACCTTGGGTTAGGGAACCCATTTGAAAAGTACACGTATATTCTATTCTAACGACCAAATCCACCAAACCGATCTAAAGAAAGAAACGCAATGGATCAAATTAAGAACAAGACCAAACTGGTTGGGCTCAGTCCCCATTGTCTCTACTTTCTCCCTCTATAAAAGAGAGATAGAACCACAGCCACTCCAGTTTCACATCTTGATCCAATGTGTATCTCTGCATAAAAATGAAAAAAAAAATGTCTGTGAAGGTAGCCTTGAGTTGATATTTTATTTTATTCAGGTTCAAGTAATCAAGTTCAAGTACCTCCTAATATCAAGGGCTGCCACTTATTAACGTAAAATCAGGATTGAGTTTAAGGTTCCTTCATACCTTTCTCTTCTCTTCTATTTATTAGGTAGGAATGAAGTCACAAGTAGTTAACTTGTGTCTCTTGTATTTTTCACTTAGAAAGATTAATTGGAATTTATATCTTTTAAAGGTTTCACTTTCTTGCTAGTTTCATCGTTAATCAGCATTTAGATTAGTGACAATTAAAAATCAAACCCCATGTATGATATCTTATTCCAATTACTTGAGCTCATCACTTAAATATTTATTTGAGCGGAATGCCTACCCACCCCATCTATTCCAGATAACACACACTTCAACGACAAGATTATCATCCCACTAATACCATCCTTCATGGCAATACTACTGATGTAACTCATTCAGTTACCAACTTGAACCAAGCTCAACCATGTACGATCAGACCCAACTCCTCTTGGCCTGAGCACCTATTTCTATGGCTGTTTTTCAAAATGTTCCTTTAATTTAAATATTAAAGAAGTCAGTTTCTTGAGAACTTTCTAATGCTTTTCTTCTTTTAAATAACATTGGGAAATCAATTTCTCCCAAATCAGCTTTTCAATGTGCTTTATTTATTTGAAAATTTTAATTTATATTTAATTTAAACAAAAAAAGGTTAGAAACTCAATTCAAAATAAACTCACTTCTCCTCACTTATAAATAATAAATAAATAGATTTGTAACTTGTAAGGAACTTTATGGGATAAAAAATAGTACGGATTTTAATAGATTTTAATAAATTTTTAAGGATAATATGAATTTACAAGACTTTTTAAAATATTCTTTTTACAATCAAGATTTGACAAGATTGAATTTTAAAAGATTTTAATAGAATTTGTAATATTAGAAATGATAATCTAGATTTACAACATTTTGAAAAATCATATGAATTTTTAATAAAAATTAAAAAATCTAGATTTGCAACAATATTAATAAAAAAAAAAAATTAGGTGGTAACTCAAACGAACACTCTTTATCTGATTCTCTATCAATTTTATCATAAATTGAATTATCATAGAATGCAATAGCATAGTAAATTGAATAATGATCATAAATTGCATTATCATCATAAATTAGATTTAGTATCATAGATTGGATAATCATCATAAATTAAATTGTCATCATAGACTTCAAAATCAGGAATATTGATATGCATCTTGATATCTTAAAAAATGGACAGATTTCCAGGTCGTACCCCTCAATTATGTCCATACTCCCTGGTTTAGCATCCCCAAAGGATTGGCGTCCTCCTTTGCATTATCATGTGTCTTCTAATTCCATTTCTTCTTTCGATTTAATGTCCAACTTTGTCCGCACAAGTCGTCGCTCCAAATCTTGGATTTTCTCGACTCTGCACACGCATATAGTTGTCGATTCAAAACTTCTATTTTCTCGTTTGTGCCTACACAAGTCGTTGCTCCAAATATTGAATTTTCTTGCTCTGCACCTACACAAGTTGTCGCTCGAAAACTTGGATTTTTTTTGCCTTGTGCCTGCACAAGTTGTCGCTTCAAATCTTGAATCTGTCTTCCAAGAACTTCATTTTCTGTCTCGGTCTATCTGACATGGTTATCCGTCTTTTTTTGGAATGAATCCACATCCCTACCATCACGACTCCACTATCGACTATCTCTACGATTCTGTTTAACCATTAGTTGAAGGCAACTTAGTAACATACCAAATGATGCAAAAAAAAAAGCATAGAAAAATGGCTAAACAGAAGGAAATGGATTTGATATAAGAGAAATTCAACGTTCTGAGCAACTTATTCAACTACTAGAATAAAGGTTTTAAGCACTAAACTAATTACAAATCAATTTAAAATTTAAAATCCTTAAAATAAATATAACTATAACTACATTACAAAATACATAAATAATTACAATTGAATCATTCAAAACATATTATGAATCTTAGTTCTCGAATCATGTCGAATTTGTTGTTTTTTTTTTTTTTTTGCCAAACAAATCACAATCACATGTAATGTTTTATTTGAACTTGGATTTGATCATATAATCTATTAGATTTTAAATTGTTACTTCTTTGAACATTCGAGTCATGTTTAATGGATCGTAATTATGTTTGACACTAAACTTATTCAATCAATCCATAAATTGATTGGGTCATTTGTAATGGACCAAAAGTGTATTATTCTTGTAACTAAGGTTCCTACACAAAGTCGAAATAGAAAAAACCTTGTAGTGGGTTGTTCCTATTGCCAGCAACACAACGAAGTACATTTGCTGGGCTTTGCTCTGCAATTCCTATAAAATTCTAGTTGCATTTTTTTTGGACCATTTGACATTAAGAGGTTCTTTAGTCATATTATTATTAGCTTTTATGTGTTCTCTTGTACTATTAAATTACCATTAACCTCTATTTGTTCTGTTTTATTTTACTATCTTTTTTTTTTTTAAACGGATTAATTCAGAGTTCATCATGTCTTTACACGGATTAATTTTAGATATGTTTCCTCAATGTTAACGTAGAGGAACTTTCACTTACGGATTCTTTAATGGACCGTACCCGACATAGTGACCTCACCTGAAGGATATTCTGCATCACCCTCAACCCTCCCCAATGGGCCTCCCGACCAGCCCAGTCCACTCACTCAATCGATCCCACATCAAGCACCAACCAAAAAGCCTGTTACACAAGAAGATATTTTTCTTATAACAGAATATACACGTGCCATCCTCTTATACATTATATTTATATTATAATAAAAAATCTCACTCAAATTATCATAAATCAGAGAGTTTCGTTTGTCTTTGTGCTGGTTTTAACATACTTTTTATTTTTATTAGAAAATAGGAAGGTGAGAATCAAAACTCTATTACTTAATCATTATTACATAAATTTTAAGATTATATAAAGAATTATTTTAATTCAAACTGTTAAATAAAAATCATATTAATAATTTTATATATTATATCTATAACTATACCAACTAAAAAAAGGAGTTACCATATTTGACATACAATAACTTGGGCGTTGTTGGAGTAACTTGCTACCTCAACCACGGTGTGCAGGAACACTTGATTAATGCAGTGAAGCGATGCATGGTACACGAAGATATGTCAAAAAAATACCTAACTTACATGCTAAGAAATGAGCATTGAAATCTTGATATGGAAGGCAATCAACAATGCGCTGTGCCCACGGCTGAGAATCTGATACGAAAGAAACTAAAGACAAGACCCATTGTGTCATGGTTGTCAACGTGTGTGAGATTCTTGGGTAATGCATGGATGAATATGTGTTGTGCCGCAATGTTAGATGCTGCGATTTCATCTCAATTACCATGGTATATACATGTATTGTGCTTGTGCCCAGAGAATTTCATGTCAACATTAAAACTTAAGTGGAGCACCTGCTTCTCCTTTGTATGCTTATTGACAACTTGTTCGCATCTGATCTTCAATGCCATATATTTGTATATTTCCACAGTTGATGATAAGAATTCTGCACTATAGGCTACCCGACAATGTTATGTATCTATTTCCTTCATGTTCTTCACATGCATGTACTTCAATGTCAGATCAACAAGGGATCAACATGTAATCTTTAGGACTACCTTAACACGAAGAAGAATAAGTACATCATTAGTCAAATTTAGAAAAAAAAATTCACTTAATTATATTTATTTTAGTTATTCTTTTATTTTTAATGTCACATGAGTCTTATATACTTGCCTAGGTACTATAATAATACTAAAGATTTACTCAAACCTCAAACTATTATTTCAGGATAAATTGGAGAAGCCTCTATGCATTGTCAAATCCCAACAACCCACAATTGTTTGCAACATATGTAGAGACGCTTCTTATGCAAACAATATTTATCCGTGAGTATCTTGTAGCTCGTTCAAAATGTTCCTTAACCTCAAATTAAGATTTATTCCGTTGGTTAAGTGC